AACTCACCTACAACTCCTGCATCCCCTGCTCTTACAAACTTGTATTATGCCATCACAATAGAGTGAGCTAATTATATTCATTATAAGTAGGTTTCAAGACTCTCTGTAGATGTTGCCTGAAACATGTCAAAAGTCAACAATGCACAAACAGGCTTTAATTCCCTTTGGAGGGGTTTACAAGACCCAGGACAGTTCGAAACTGTAGTTCACATTGGATAAGACAACTTTTTGAGGGAAACTGTGAGGCTTACTCATATCAAATAATAGTCCTTCATCACCTTATGTGACGTATGGGGATTAGAATCTCTGGGACAGAGGATATCCGACAAAAGTCTGAATAAGTGGCAGACCACTTTGAGCCACAGAGTCCTACAGGCGAGAATCGAAACCGGGTAGGAGAAAGACGTGGGATTAAGTGAAGAAGGTGCAGCCCTAGACGTCTGGGAAAGTAGGAAACGAGGAGAGACTCTACGATCATTTAGAAGAAAAATCGTTTTTACTTGCTACTTTTACGAGTTATGACTGGTGTTAAGAATGCCGACTATGATTTCGGGCAATGTAGCAAGCCAACAGGAGGACGTTGGTTCAGGTATGCTCCACAAGGTCATCAATTCGCGCCGGCAAAGCTGTGAAAATGAACCCAAACTAAGTCTATTATTTTGGAGAAGTCTTACTAGACCAAAGATTACATTATTCTGGTCCGCATAGCAACAAAATGATAGGCAACTATACCGCTGGCACAGGATCTCTATGATCCCAGCTAATCTTTCTTCAATCCCGACTTTCCACCTCGGAACTACCACTGCTGAAGCTGCCAACGGTGAGATAGTGATGACAACCTTACTGCTTCTCATCATTCACATCGTCATGGCAGCGCGCTAGCTCTGTCGTGGTGGGATAATGAACAATTTATTTAAACTATAATTAAATTCTATGCGCAAAATTCCGAAAACAAGTGAGATTTCGCTTCGACAGGAAGAAGAGACGGAAGATGAGTAAGAGTCACGCAATATCATTTGTGTGGTAGGGACGCATTAAGTTATGCCTTTATAACTATAAAGTATAGATATACACAGTCTTGTTGCTACGGCCTCGTTTATGACGGGGCTGAGAGAGCGTCTGGCTTTAGAGACGAGCATTCAAGATAGCCAAATTGAGGTCGATGGGGCCAGTCTCAGACGGCGGCTTGGCGATTACGCTCGCCTCCCTCGCGCCAGTAGCCAGTTCACGTTGTTGTCCCCCCCAGTCGGCAAGCCTCTTCTATTAAGCACCAAAGCAACTTTGACCAAATGGCATTTTATCTGGTGAGAGCAGACAGGAGGTCGGCGAGGGCAGTCCCGAAGCCGGGCACAGGAGTTCGGTGTGGTCACTATTACGTGATGCATTCATTTCACCTTCTCCACCCGAGCTCGTCCAAGTTGGGCAAGGCAGGTGTAAGAATTGGAGTTAATCGTCATCGGAAACAATGCCTTTTGCGACCATTTCATCAGAGGCTTTGGCTCGATTTTCGTTTGCTCATTCTCCCCAGCCTTGTGTGTTATCTGGCCTTCCCTTCATGTAACTGCT